TAGATTTGATTAGATTTAATATTTAAATATAATCCAAGTTGTGTTAGCCCAAGCCCAATTAGGTTTGTATATAAATAGTCATAGTGTGTATCATTATTTGTACAATTCAATAAGACAAATCATTATTTCCTTTATTATTCTCTCTTTCTCTCCTCAATAAAAGTGCCTCACGCACTAAAAAATTGGTATCAGAGCTTCTGGTTATTGTTCTTGATCAAGTTTTCAAGAATTTCACGTCAGAGATCGTGTTTCTAGGGAAAGTGAATCAACCTTTACGAAGATAGCTAGTGATAAGGGCATTCTGAATTCTCTTCCAATGCTTGACAACAAAAATTGGATCCGATGGAAAAAACAGATGCAATCCTTGTTTGGTTTCCATGAAACCCTAGAAGTGGTTATCGACGGTGTTTCTGTGTTGGCTGCAAATGCAACCGACGAATAGAAAAAAGCCCACAATGAAGTCAAGAAGAAACATTGCAAGGCTGCTTATTGCATTCAAATGGTTGTCGATGCTGCTAATTTCGATAGAATCTCTCATGCTGAAACGGCGAATGAGGCATGGGATATTCTGGTGAAGCATTTCGAAGGAGGTCAGAAAGTCAAGGTTGTCAAATTACAAACCTTGCATCGATAATATGAGTTGTTGTCAATGGGAGAAGATGAAAAAGTTGCAGAATATGTGTCGAAGGTTCAGAAACTCGTCCATCTCATGAAAGGTTATGGTGAAACCATTACTGATAAGATTATAGTTGAGAAGGTAATGAGAACATTGACCTCTCACTTTGATCACGTTATCGTAGCTATTCAAGAATCCAACAATCTTGAAACCACTAAATTGGAAGATTTGGTTGGTCTGTTGGAGGCGCAGGAGATGAGGATTGTGGAACGGAAAGGAGTTCAGGACTCGATATAGGAACTGCAAGCTTCGTCATGGAAAAAGGATGGTGGTTCCAACAAATTCAAAGGCAAGTTCGATAAGACTCATGGAAAGAAGTCTTGGTCGAATCCCCATAAGAATAAGATCAAAGATAGATCTTCTGAATCCTCGAAAAGGGGAGGAGGAAACTATCAAAAGGACAAAGAAGATAATAATTGTTGGTATAGAAAAGACAAAGGATCGAAAGGCAAGGAAGAATGAGCGAACCATGCACGCCAAGATTCAGATGATTCTGAAGGTGGTATGGTGGTTATGGCTGTAGTTGCAGATAACCATGTCGAATCCAAGAACTGGTTTCTCGACTCAAGCTGCTCGAACAACAAGACTGCTGGAAAGGAGTGGTTGGCAGATTTTGACAAGTCGAAGAAGAGTAAGGTAAAACTTGTTGATAATAGTTTGTTGCAAGCAGAAGGTACTGGAAACATAGTCTTTCAAATGAGTAATGGAGGGAAAGCTATGATTAAAGATGTACTCTATGTATCTGGAATGAAATGCAAATTGTTAAGTGTTGGACAACTAGTCGAAAAATGTTTCTCAGTTGTCATGAAAGATGGAGTTTTAAAATTGTTCGACACCAAGAACAATTTGGTATTAAAATCTCCATTGTCGAAGAACAGGACATTTAAGACTATGATCAGTTTGACAGAATTTCAATGTTTGAAAATTGTTGTCAACTATAAGGATAGTTGGTTCCGATATTTGAGGTTTAGACATTTGAATTTTCGATCACTTAATCAACTGATTACTCAAGATATGGTTACTGGTATTCCAAGCCTTGAGATGCCTGAAAAACTTTGTGAAGGCTTTTTAGTGGAAAAGCAATCCAGTAATTCTTACGTTTAGACTATGTCGATGAGATCATCCTGCATTCTCAAAGTGGTGCATTCAGATGTATGTGGTCCATTCGAAGAACATACAATTAGTGGAAACATATATTTTGTTTCGTTTGTCGATGAGTTTAGTCGAAAGTTGTGGATATATGTGATCAAACGAAAGGATGAAGTATTCGAAATCTTTAAGAGATTCAAGATACTTGTCGAAAACCAGAGTGAGAAGAAGATCAAAGTTCTGCGAACAGATGGAGGTGGCGAATAAACATCCAAGATGTTTGAAGATTTCTATGCAGAACATGGTGTTGATCTTGAGGTAACTACTCCTTATACACCTCAACATAATGGAATTGTTGAAAGAAGAAACATAACCATATTAGATATGGCGAGATGCATGCTGAAGCAAAAGAAGTTGCCAAAGTCTTTATGGGGAGAAGTTGTTTCGACTGCAGTTTATATTTTGAATAGGTTTCCTACTAAGATATTGAAGAACAAGGTTCCTGAAGAAGTATGGAGTGGAAAATGACCATCAATAAGTCATTTGAAGGTGTTTGGCTCTATGTGTTACAAGCATGTTCCTGATGCAAGGAGAAGGAATCTTGATGACAAGAGTGAACCTATGATTTTGGTAGGATATCATAAAACTGGTGCATACAGACTATTCAATCAAGTTAATGAGAAGATTGTGTTGAGTCGAGATATTGTGATTAATGAAAATTCTGCTTGGGATTGGAATTCTAGTAACAAGCCATTAATGAACTTTGATTTCGACGAAGAAACTAATGAAGTAGAAGTCGAAGGAATTGTTGAGAATCCAATCGAAAACAAAGAAGAAGCAATTATTGACACTCCTAACATAGTCGAAGTCGAAGAGGTTGTGGCTGAAACAAGCCAAAGACCTCAAAGAAATAGAGTTCTTCCAACAAGACTTCAGGATTATGAAGTGGTGGGTGATGATGAAATCACACCAGATGGAAATTAGTTCATTTTACTTTACTTGCAGGAGTTGAACCAATTAACTATAGCGAAGCTTTGAAGATTAACAAGTGGAAGTTAGCTATGGTCGAAGAGTTACCGGAAATCGAAAGAAACAACACATGGGAGTTAGTCGAATTTCCAGCACATACAAAAGTTATCAAAGTAAAGTGGGTGTTCAAGTTGAAACACAATGCATATGGGTCAATATCAAGACATAAAGAAAGATTAGTAGCTCGAGGTTTTCTTCAAAGAGCAGAACTCGACTACTCTGAAGTATTTGCTCCAGTAGCAAGATTAGAGACTATTCAACTAGTGGTAGCATTGGCATGCAACCAAGGATGGTCGACATTCCATCTAGATGTGAAATCAGTATTTCTGAATGGTCCTTTAGACAAAGAAGTTTATGCCACACAACCTCCTGGGTTTGTGATTCAGAAGGAAGCGAGGAAAGTATATAGATTGCACAAAGCGCTTTATGGCCTCAAGCAGGCACCTAGGGCATGGTACAAGAAGATCGACTCATACTTAGTCGAATTGGGATTTGTCAAATGCAAATCAGAGTATGGTGTCTATGTTCAGGTTGTAGCACAAGATATAACAATCATCTTCTTGTATGTGGATGACTTTCTAGTAACTAGAAATAGTTTGGAGAACTTGTCGAAATTCAAAGAGCTGATGACCTGTTGGGGGGAGATACTAGGAGTAGTGATACATAGTGTAGGACTAGGCACCTTTGTGAGAGACACACCACTTATCCACCTAAAACCTTAAGGTGATGGGTGATTGGGTTCTGCCACTTATATATGCTTAAGTCTCTACATTCCTATCCAATGTGGGACTATTTTCCCACTTACTCACACTTGTTATATTATTCAAACACTTTGAAATGTCGAATCTAAGAAAATCATCTTATTTTCTAGGCATGGAATTTCAAATGTCGAATCAAGGTATGGTGCTACATCAAAGAAAGTATGTCAAAGAGATACTCAAGAGATTCAGAATGGATGATTCAAATCCTGCATCCTCACCTGTCGAACCAAATGTGAAGTTGTAGAAGAATGGAGAGGAAGACAAAGTCGATGCAACTTTGTTCAAGCAAATTGTGGGATCTCTGAGGTATGTGTGCAACAATCGATCGGATATAAGTTTCGCAGTCGGATTAGTAAGAAGATATATGGGTGAACCAAGAGTGCCACATATGAAGGCTGCAAGAAGAATCCTGAGATATTTGAAGGGTTCAATAAATTGTGGAATACTATCTCGACGAGATTCTGAAGGCAAAGAAACAATAGTTAATTGTTTTTTAGATGCTGGTTAGTGTGGAGATAAGGAAGATCGAAGAAGCACAACTGGATATTTCTTTCAAGTATTTGGTGCCCCAATCTCATGGTGTTCGAAGAAGCAACCTGTGGTGGCATTGTCATCGTGTGAAGCTGAATATATAGCAGGATTCTATGCTGCATGTCAAGCAATTTGGGTCAGATCTGTACTTGAAGAAATGACTGTCGAAGTGAAGAAACCTCTAGTATTGCAAATCGACAACAAGTCAGCCATAAATCTGGCGAAGAATCCAGTTCTGCATGGAAGAAGTAAACATATTGAACAAGATTTCACTTCTTGAGGGAAAAAGTAAATCAAGGTGAACTTGAAGTTATGCATTGCTCAAGTGAAGCACAGTTGGCCGACATTGTTACCAAATGATTGAAGATCGACAGATTCCTGAATTTGAGAAAGAAATTATGAATAATTCAGATTGACTATTTTTGAGGATGTTCGACAACTTGGATTATGGGGGGTTGAAATATTAAATTAGATTTGATTAGATTTAACATTTAAATATAATCCAAGTTGTGTTAGTTCAAGTTCAATTAGAATTGTATATAAATAGTCATAGTGTGTATCATTATTTGTATAATTCAATAATACAAATTTTTATCTCATTTATTATTCTCTCTTTCTCTCCTCACTAAAAGTATCTCATGCACTAACACTAATGCCCGAGAGCTCTCGAAGTTTATAGGATTCGTGACAGATAAGTTATACACTCATTTCAAAAGCCATATCAATTCCTAATGATTTTATTTTGCAAGTGTAGCCCACCTAAAAAAGTTTAACATTACATGAACAAAAAGGTCAAGCTGAAAGCATTGTGAAATACTCCAGCCTGCACTTTATTTATTAATTCAACAACATGTCTTAAAGTAACACTCACATGAGGCTGCACACTAGACATATATTGGTTTTACATTGAAAACTTACATACTACCTGGAATTGGCGAGTGGTTCTCGTCTGATAAATAAAACAAGAACCAAATCTCATTCACCCTATTATCAAATTCAAAAGGGGCATTGTACTGAGCCACAGAGTAAACCGAAGCATGACCATCACTACCTTGATCAATAGCAGACGACCACTTAGTACCGGCAATACTTTCCTTCAACGCCGCAGCTTGCTCGCCAACGTCTGTATCTTTGACAAATCCACCAAACTGTCTAACTGCTGCATACACAGGTTTGCATCTTTGAACATGAAGACCCTCTGCGGGAGGTGGATTTGCTTGGTTCTTTTTAGGCACATAAAAGCTTACAACAAATGAAGACTTGCAAAAGGGTCCATCACTAGGAAAGACCTCAGAGTGAACAGGTGCAGTCATCTCAATTTTTTGATGGTAGTTGTTCTTACCCTGAATATAATCAAAAAGCCTAAAGAATAAAAAGATTAATCAACTTCATTTAACTCTATAAAACATATATAAGCACTTCAACATAAAAATTACCTCAAGAAACCGGTTCTTGTAGCCTCAACAAGAGAAATGTCTTGAATGGGGTCACTGGAAATCCAAACAGTTGAATTATAGCGACGGATTTCATAGCCATTTCCGGCTTGTACGAGATCGTAATTGGGGCACTCTATGCGGCTGCATGCTGGGGGAACAGCCGATAATGAAAGTGAGACGAGAGTGAAGAAGAGTGAGAGCTTGAATGTGGTGGTAACAGCCATAGATTTTGCTCAAAGTTGGTGAATTTGTTACGGAACAGAAAGTTATATTGATAAAGGTTTTTGTTTCTATGGCTATGATGAAATTGAGTCTATTATCCACGCTAACACGTCTCCTTCCTTTCATATTAGGGATAATATTATATTTAAATTTTAAAATTTATTATAAAATAAATAGTTATCGGTGGAAATCCACCAAAATCTATGATAAATTTTTATCCATCTTTATGAACAAGATTGTTATCGACACACAATGACAATGAAAAAATATGTGAAAGAAAGAAAGAGAGTGACAATAATTTTCTACAGAATTTCTCTCTGTTCATAAAGTATGAAAAACATTTTATTCACTTGTAACTGTAAATTCTGTGAATACAACTTGATTAGAAATTAGAGGTTACTCCCTATATTAAGTTAAAAGCGCAAAACTATAAAAGCTCAAAATACATATTTTAGAACTAAATCAAATCTATTTATTTTAGACATAAATCAAATATATCTATTTTAGATCTAAATCAAATATGTGTGTACCAAACTGCATCTGCACTATGATACTTCCTTATTTTCTATCGAGCAAGCTGCTTCGACATAATGAATTATACTTTCAACACACCACATAATTCATTGTGTTTAAGTTATATATATTCATCATAGCTCTTAGTCTTCTGAACACTTCGACTTGCACTCCCTTCGTCATGATGTCTGTAATCTGATTCTCAATTCTGCAGTGTTTCATCTTCATCTTTCCTTCTGCTACCTATTCTCGAAGATATTAGAATCTCATTTCGATGTGGTTGCTTCGACCATGTGCTATTGGATTCTTCTCCAGATTGATAGCTGACATGATGTCGATCTTCATGGTAATTGCTCCATGATCTTTACCTATAATCTCTTCGATCAAGCTCATCATCCATGCTGCTTGATATGCACAAAGAGAAACAGCTATGTACTCTGCTTCGCACAATGATAATGCCACTACTGGTTCCTTTCTCGAACTTCAAGCAACTAGTTCACCACCTAGCATGAACACATATCCTACTGTAGATTTTTTATTCTCAGCATCACTACACCAACTTGAATCAGTGTATCCAACTAACTCACATTCTTTTCCTTTATCAGATGCAAGAAATAAAATATCATAGTCAAGAGTTCCTTTTAGATACCTTAGTATCCTCTTCGACGCTGCTAAGTGTGATACCTTTGGATTCTGTATGAATCTACTCATCATACCTACATTGTAAGCTAAGTCAGGCCTCGTGTGACAAAGGTATCTTAATGACCTAATAAGTATTTTATATTGAGTTGGATCGACATCATTTTCTTCTGAATCTTTCGACAGTTACAGTCTTAGTTCTGCAGGTGCCGAAGTCGAGTTGCATTCTTTCATCTCAAATCACTTGAGAATTTCTCCTGCATATCTTCTTTGATGCATCATCAAACCTCTACTACTCTTGTAGAATTCGATGCCAAGAAAATATGAAATGTCACCCAGATCATACATTTCGAATTCCTTGTTGAGATCGCCTTTGAAGTCTTCGACCTCTTTCTTGCAGCTACATGTCATCATCAAATCATCGGCATAGAGACATAATATAAGTAATTCACTATTTCTTCTTCTTGCACATACACCATGTTCAGTTGTGCACTCCACAAATTTCTTCTCTCTTAAAAAACTATCAATCTTCTTATTCCAAGCTCTTCACTACACAACACAAGAATTTAGACAATGCTTTTTTTTTGGCTTTAGACAGTTCTTTAAAGCGTTGTCTATTCCAGCACTGCTGTAGGTAAAGACAATACTTTGTTAAAAGTAAAAGCGCTGTTAAATTCCCCATTTAGCCAGCGAATTTACTTTTAAAGTGTTGCTAAAGGCCCCTTTAGCCAACGCTTTTTCTGAAACAAAAAATAATAAAAATAAAAAGCCCCTTTAGGCAACACTTTTAATGTTAAAGCGCTTTCTAAAGCCCCCTTTAGGCATCGCTTTTTTTAAAGGGCTGCTAAAGGCTCCCCTTTAGCCTGTGCTTTCTCTGAAACAAAAAAAAAATTAAAAAGATCCCCTTTAAACAGCGCTTTTACAGTAAAAGCGTTGTCTAAAGGGGGCTTTAGACAGCGTTTTTTAAAGCGTTGTCTAATGTCCACGAAATTTTTTATATAACTTTTTTATAAATAAAAAAACGTTGTTTGATATATACAATTTTATATGCACAAATCTTAACCATATTTACATTAGGTTTTCACCATATTTTGCACCTGTATATATCATTAAAAATTTCACTAGATTTTCACTAATATTGGAGTTTCAATCTAATAAAAAATAATATCAAAAGATATTATACATTTGCACCAATGTACTTATATATACTATTACTCTTGTACATATATACTTTTATAAAAAAACAACATCAAAACAACACCATTATATATCATTACAAAATCTATTCATCTTTATCTTCTACATATGCACATATAACCTGAAACAACAATAAAATATCATAATTCATACCATGATACAAACAAAATATATATAATTTACCACATGAAAAACAACAACAAAATTGCAACACTTGAATATACTCAAAATTCTCATCAATTAAAGTAAGATTACAATATATCTTATATAACTTTCGTCTTAATAATGTATTGATACCAGTCCTCCTTAAGTTCATCCAACTTAGAACTTGAATAATAAGCACACTTGAATTCATCAAAGTACTACATAATAATATAACATAGTATGTTTAAGTTAAAACTATTTAATTATATGAGAAATATGTGTTAAATATTAAAATAACTCCTAAGTTAGAAATCCATACCTTAGATGGAATCTCTATTCGATCCAAAAGAAGGATTTCTCAAATAAACCTCAACATGTAAAAACCGCAATCTATTTCATTACGCTGCCGAGGACACTACACATGAAAAGAAAACATGGATAAGACCTAAGTTTTATCAAGTATCATCACTATTAATATAATCAAAATTGTAATAATTAATTAATATACCTCCACTATAATCCATGTAATGTTGTTGGCTTTACTCTTTGGTACTTGAATACCTCTTTGTGCTCGAAAAACTTGTATAATGCTAATAAAACATAAACGCATATTTAGAATAATTCACATAAATAAAAAATAAATAAATACACACACGAATATTTAGAATAATCTCACTTACGTATCAACCATATTCTTCATATCTTGGTATGTACTTGGATCATTGCATAAAGAATCCAGATAATATACAACTTCTCTGGTAGGATTAATCGCGACCAACAACCAATGTCCACTGTAAGATTAAACAAATGTGAGATGAAAACTTTCTACACAACGTCAAAATATGAAAATTTATAATAGATGAATTTAGAATGAAAATCTAATCCGTTGCGGGTATTAAGCGGTAAAAAGAATAACTTTTCGGTATCTTTGTCGACCATAAAGCGCTCGAGTACATACGCCATGACTTTATCTGGTTTATGAATGATTAACTCTAAGTTAGTATTATAAGGAGATAAGAAAGCAAATCTTTGCTCCCATCCACTCGGGCGCATCAATTTTTCATACAAAACCTTAAATAAAAGACCTCATTAACATTTGAAATGAGTAAATGAATTGATCAATTAATTAGACAAAGTAGATCAGATATTTCTTATGTATGTATTAACAACACCGAGGCCTAATTTCATATGTTGTAAAACTTGATCAAAATCCTCCATACCAATTGTTTCGGAATATTCAAAACCAAAAATACCAAACTCCATAGGTAGAAGACGAGTATTTCCTTCCGAAATATCAGACATTTCTAAAAATGTCCCAAGGCACGACCTAAACTTGGAAGTAGGTTTTTTTTAGCCGCAGTCTTCTTAGCAACAACCTTTTTTTTGTGTGGAAATGTTGCTAATTTCAGGATTCTTACCCCTACCGACATCTTCATTCTCTTTAGCATGAATCTAAAGATCATATAATTAGTTATGTGAAGTATAAGATCAAGAATTAACATTTTTCATGCATAAATATCATATAATTGTGATGTGCCTCTTTTATTGATGCAACTGACTCGGTTTGCCGCAGAACCCCCTTGTCTTTTGCTTTGGATCTTGTTGGAGTCTAATTAACATAACCGTGTAAAAACAAATGTACGTAAAATGCGCGTAAAAACTTTGAATACTCAAAGGTTAATATATATGGTTTTAAGCATACCTCATCATCTAAACTAATGAGGCTTGATGGCCATGCAACAAACAAACCTATTGCATCTCCCACTAGTGTGGCATCCGAAACATCGTCAAGATGTAGTAATAACGCATCCTTCTCCAAAGCAATGTCAACTGATACTTTCAAACAGCCAGTAGGGAGCGATTTAGTGTGAAGTAATTCTCCCAAAGTATTATGCATTTTTCCCTTGCCAACCATCCGATAAGTCGGTGATGATAAGTAGAGTTGACAAGCTGAAGTGCCCTAAAACCAATAATAAATTTCAAATTGTTATTGTGTATATATTTCAATTAAATAAATTAAGCTACTTTAATTTCATAATGATATATATAATCACCTCTGGAAGATTCGGTTGAAAATTACAACCGATACTACCTTTGTCACTAGTAGCTTTAAAACCTGAAGCTTGCTCTCTTAATTATTTTTCCCTTCTCAATTCATGGGCTTCAGCTTGTACTGCTTCCAAGGTTTCATGCAGTTCTTTATTTCTAGGAGTCTTTTGTGTTTTCATCTTCAAGGATTTTGGAGTGATTCCAAATCCTTTACCCCTCACCCGACCAGAATACTCACGAACATCTAATGCTCGACTAAGTATGCTCCTGCAATCATTGTCTTCATCTGGACATATAGACTGAGATAGAGTCTCCTGAAATTCATATGAATATTGAAAATTTATCTTAATTATATGTTACTAAACTTTTGATTTAATTAAATAAATAATGCTATACTTACACATTTCTCAAAAAAAGTTTGAACATCTTCTTTGACAACTCCATCATTACCCACATGGGC